GCTTCATTATCAAACAGTAAAAAGAAAAGAGAAGAAAAGTACCTTCATTCAATCAACGACGAGAGAAAGAGAGAGAGAATATTGAAAACATTGAATATTGTTCATCAACACTACCACCATAACAACAACAACTGCCACCATTATCATCAGATCGGCAAATAGTATATAAATATCGGTTCGTTATTTTGTATTTTGTATTTTGTATTTTGATTGCTGCAAATAAAAAAAAAGTTAGTTAGTTTTGTTTTGATAATCAAAAAATCGTATTTTCATTTACAGTCGGTTGTTTTTTGTGTGTTGATTTTCTGCAGTGTACATTTCATATTTGTGTCATCATCATTCTCCTTGTCAAAAAAAAAAAAAACAAAAAATCATATTGATTCTAGTTAATCCTCAGTTAGTGTGTGTGTGTGTGTGCTTGTCATCTATAAATTATCAACCAAAATTTTAACCCAAATTCTTTGTCAGTTCCAGTAACCTAGTTTTTGTTCTACTGCTGCTGCTGCTGATTATCTTGCTTTATTGTTGTTCCAGTTTCTTTTTCACCCAGTTTGTGGTCGAATCGATTTATATTCTGTAAATTCATTGTGTGTGAGTGAAAATCACCAAAAAAAAAAAAAAAAACAAATTACAATAATCATGGCACCAGAACGTAAAGTTCATGTACAACGATCAGATAATAATCTAATTGATCAAGAATTTAGTTCAATTCGTACAAGATTTGAAGATGAAATGAAAAAAATGGAAGAAGAAATGAATAGATTTCGTACACAATTAATGGATCGTGAACGAACATTTTTTGGTTCAAATTTATCATCATCAACAGCAAATAATAATTCAACAACACAACGTTCATTTGGTCGTGAATTAGAAAGTTCAGCACCATCAACAAAAACAACACATTGGTTAGATGATATTAATTCACCATTAGTACAGGATTCACCGGATGGTAATAAAGTATTAAAATTACGTTTTGATGTAACACAATATGCACCCGAAGAAATTGTTGTTAAAACTATTGATAATCGTCTTCAGGTTAGTTTTATTTGATTGATTGATTGTTATTTTGTTTCCCTGTTTGTTTGTTTGTTTGTTCTGCAACATCATTATGATGATGACATCTGCAAACAAAACAAATCGATTTTTTTTTCGTTTGTTTTTGTGATGTCGGAATTTGTTTACTTTTGCATAATGAAATATGATCATGATGTCTTCATTATCATCATCATCATCATTGGATATTCAAAATTGACGTCATCGAACTGAAATATTTGTCAATTTTTTAATTGTTGGCATCTTTTCTTGTGACAAAAATTTGCTTATCTAATCAAAATTCTCTTTCCCTTGTTTCTTTTATTCCATCCTGTTTTTGTTTTTTGTTTTACTAATTCTCTGTTGTTAATCCAATTTTAGGTACACGCAAAACATGAAGAAAAAAGTGAAAATAAAAGCGTTTATCGTGAATATAATCGTGAATTTTTATTACCAAAAGGTACAAATCCTGAATTGATTCGTTCAAGTTTATCAAAAGATGGTGTATTGACTGTTGAATCGCCATTACCAGCACTGGAATATAATGATGGTGAAAAACGTATACCAATTCAACATAAATAAACCGAAAAAACAACAACAAAAAATCAAAAATCAAAAATCATCATCATCATCCTCAATCGACAAAAATACTAATCACCCACCACAATCACACATCATTTATCAAAATTCTTAATAATTTTCTTTCCGTATTGTTTTGTTTTACTTTTACTTTTACAAAGCACACGCTATACTAATACAAATAAATAAATAAAATACAAAACCCCAGTTATTATTTGTCATTTGTATGTGAACACCCTTTAGAGAAAAATGGGTTATAGGGGTTTCACACTAGCAGCAATGTGAATGAAATATTTCAAATGCAATATTTCA